TGCCGCCGCCATCTTCCCGAGCCAGCCGGCACCGTCGTCGTCGTCGTCACGGTCGCCGCCGCCGCCGCCGCTACTGGTGGGGGTGGTGCTGCTGCTGCTGCTGTGGGGGCGGCCTGGGCCTCCTTCTCCTTCCTCGCCTCCGCCACACCCCTCCCCGCCCTCGGCCACCGGCAGACCCTCGGCGTCGCGGCCCTCCGTCTTGGCCGGCCTCCGCCTCCTCCTTCCTTCCTTCCTTCCTCCGCGGCGGCCGCCTCAGCCTCCCAGGGAGCCCCGCTTCCCTTCCCTCGCTCCCCTCCCTTCCCCCTCCCTCTCTCTCTCCCTTCCGAAGGTCCACGATAGATTACGAGCGGAGGAGGAGGAGGAAAGGGGGGGGAAAAAAGGAACGGAGAAAGCGTGCTCGCGGATTGGCCGGCCCCCTGCACGTGAGGCGGGGGCCGCGTGACCCAGCGCGCTCCCTCCCACAGGGCCGGTGCGCGCGCATACTCATATAAACCCCCACCTTCCCTTCCTTCCTTCCCCTGACACCCGAGAGAGGCGCGCGCAGCGGCCGTTGGCGTCACGTGACACTCCCTTCCCCCCCCTTCCTCCTCGCGCACTTCTTGTTTATGCCGTGTCCTGAAGGGGGTGGGGTTTGTTTCCCCTTCTGGTCCCTCCTCCTTCCCCTCCTGATTCCCCATTCTTCGCTCCCCTACGTCAGCGTCGTTTCCCCCCCTTCCTCGCCTTCGGATTGGCTGCCCGACGCCCGCTCCCCTTGCACGTGACGAGGGCGCGAGGAGGGAGACGGCGAAAGAGAGCGAGCGAGGGAGCGACGGGGGAATTGGATCCGGCGCAGCGCTTGGTGGAAGGGAAGGGAAGGGAAGTGGGGGGTTGTATGATAATAGAGGCGGCGGCAAGAAGAGGAGGAAGAGCCGTGAGGCGAAGAGTGCCTGAGGTAATCGGCGGCAGCTTCCCCTTCTGCCCCCCCTCCCCAAAAAGAGACCGGAGGAGGCCAGGGCGGGAAGTCGGGCGGCGGGGTAGGGGGCGGGAGAAGGGACAAACCTCCCCAGGCGCTCGCAAGCGCCACCCTGGTAACCAGGGGCAACGGGGCCTTCCTCCCCGTCCGGCGCCAGCTGGGAGTAGCGGGCCCTCTGGGTTGGAATAACTTCTCTTCCCGCCGCCCCGCACACCACCACCCCGACCCCCGCCACGGCCTAGGTTCGGTGCGGGGCCTGGCCCCGTTTCCTTTGGGCAGGCGAAAACGCCCGGGCCTTTCTTTGGGCGCGTCCGTGTATGTGTATGTGTGTGTGACAGAGAGGGGTGGTGGTGGTCTTCTCCCTCCTCACACGGGCAGCCCTCGTGGAGGATGGGGGCTTGGCGTGGGTGTGCGGTTCATGATGACTTGGACCAGGCAAATGAGTTCTGGTTCGTTTTCAAACCCTCCGGCTAACGGGGCGGCCTGTGTTATAAGAGGTTGATGGAGCCTCCAGCTGCAGGAGCAGTGTATCAGGAGTGTCATGGAGAGAAAACGGGGCAGGACTGAAGGCTGACTTGGACGCCTCGCATGTCAACCTCTGTGCCTGAACCTGCCTTCTTGGGGGGGAGCTTGCATTATTTGCACTATTGGGTTCCCTGAAAGCAGGCAGGAAGAGCTGCACCCAATCGGCTTATGGTTAAACCGCCACCTGGTTTGGTTAAACTTCGGCCGTAGGCTCCGTGGAATTTCCCTATAGAGCAGCATGCATCTGAAGGCTGGGTGCAGGGTTTGAGCCATGGAGGGAAAGCCATTGTTTCCCTGTGCAAGAGCTGTGATTGGGCCAGTCATCGGTATCAGAAGGATCTAAAGGTGTTAAATGTCCAGACCAAGGAGACAGACAAGTGAAGCAGAGGGCTTCACGCCAGCAAAGGGCCTGAGCTTTGATCATAGAAACCAGGTGGGAAAAGGTTGCAGGTGAGAGATGACCAGAATATAAACTACCGTATTTTTCACTCCATAAGACGCACCAATTTTTAGGAGAAGGGACAAGTGATCATGGCAGCAGAGGGCTTCCCACCAGCAGAAGGCTTGAGCCTTGATCATAGAAGACCAGGTGGGGAAAGGTTGCAGGTGAGAGATGACCAGAATATAAACTACCGTATTTTTCGCTCCATAAGACGCACCAATTTTTAGGAGAAGAAAACAGGAAAATATAATCTGTTTTCTTCGCCCCTGTTTTATGGGGAAAAAGTGCGTCTTATGGTGTGAAAAATACAGTACGTAATATTCTGAGAGAGGATTGGATTTTTATGATAATAGTGGTCATCTGAGTACTGCAGAGCTGGAAGGGACCCTTTTGATCATCCAGTCCAGCCTTTGTCAAGAAGGCACTTGGGGGTGGGGGAATCGAACTCTTAATCTTAGCCGCCTAGAGTGGTCCTCACACGACTGGATCATCCAGGCCAGACTTTGTCAAGAAGGCACGGGGGGGGGATCGAACTCTTAATCTCTGGCTCAGCAGCCAGAAACCTCTCAACCCCTGAGCTAGGCAGCAGTTTGTGGTGTTGCAAAGAAAGCAAAATGATGTGATTTGTCAGTGGGTCAAGCAAAAAAGGAGTAACGAGAACAAAATTATTGTGGTCTCTTTAAGATGAACAAAGGTATTCAGTGTGCATTTAAGTGGTTTGCGGTGATGGATTGTCATCCACAAAATATTTTTCCATTTCTGTAATATTTCTGTTTTAATTTTGTTGTTGCTGAAACAGACTAACGCAGATACCCCATTCAACCAAGAAAAGAAAGTTGAAGGAAAAGAATAGTGCTTTTTGATGTGCGTGGATGAAAAAATGAGAATTTATAAGGAAATATTAAAATAGTTTAGTCACAGACCGAGGTAAGTTTGAGACAGCATTGAAACATTTAATTGGAACATCAAAGAAGGTTCTTTGAAGAGTGGGGCTAAGTAGAAGCAAATATTTGAGAATCAGATACTAGAGCTGTGGTCCTCAAGGTGTAGATGGCATTAAAACCATGATTTGAATCTCTACATGCTATTCTTTGGGAGCAAACAAGGACAAAGGAAATTTTCAGGACGTAGCAGAAAGTGGGAAATGGGGAGGGGCAAGGCAGTGGCCTGCAAATGTTTCAGAGGCTGCCATACAGAAGATGGACTAGATTTGTTCCCTATTGTTTTGCAGAGCAGGGCTAGAATTAATAGGTGGAAATAGTATGAGAAAGCAGCCTGTGGCTAAAGTGAAGAGCCTGTATCACTGGCTAGTGGTAATAGTTGTTTTGCAGCGGTAGAGCATGCCTCAGGAGGTGGCAAATTCTCCTTTCCTGGAGGTATTTAGACAGGGGTTGGACATATCATAGCTGCATCTTGTGTTAAGCCGGAAATAAGGCTAGATGTTTCCCAAAGAGCATAGACATAATATGCTCCTGAGCTCCTGGATGCCAAATGAAACTGCAGGTCTGCAAGGGCGGCATTGTTTACACTGATAGGCAGCAGCTTTCCAGAACCTTTTGACAATGTTTTCCCTAGTCCTGCATGGCAATGCGGAGAATTGGATCCAGAGCCTTCTGCCTGCAAATTACATGTTTTGTTCATCTTCAACAGAGATCAAAGAACAGAGCCCACGACACTGACTTGCTAAACAAGCCTTTTAAGCCTCATCCCTCAGAGATTTGTTGTTTTGAATCTGCTCTCTCTGAGGAAATGATTTGCACATATGAATTCTCCCAAGCGTGTTTTTGTCAATATCTGAGCTTCTGTGCTTTGGGAAACAAGGTCATAAACACAGTCGTTTTTGGGCTGTGTCTCCATTTGCAAGTATTATCTGTGCACAGCTTGCCAATCAAGCTGTCACCCATAATCTTTCTTGTCAACAATGTTTGAAGGATTTTTCCATTTGTCAGTCTTCTCGCCGGAGAAGGGCGCATCTCGGCTTTCTGTTTTAATTTTGCTCATCTACTGGGATGAAGTATCATGCCCAATGTAAATCTTTTTTAATTCAGCGTCTGCAGGAGCTTGGTTGAGGTTGGTCACCATGTGGGTTGCTATGTGCTATACACAGTATGTCTGTTGGTTGCTGTCAGAGGGATAGGAATCATCCTGCTGGGTTCGAGAGGAAGGTTCGTGTAGCTCAGCAGGACCTTGTTTCCTGTCTAGCACTCACAAGGGCTTGATCGTGATAACAGTCTCTTGTTTGGTTTTGGCATCAAACAAGCAGAGGTGTGCATCCTTGCAGCCATAGCTTCCGTTCTTGCTTCTCATGGCTAATAACTGTGAGGAGGAGTGGGGAAAGTGATCATTTAAAGGGATCATCCAAGCCCCAGTCTTCCAATTAAGGTGTAAAATTGCTGTTTCACTATAATCTTTCAGGCTTCTCAGCCAAAGAACATCTGTTATTTGTCTATGAATACAGATAGGGTACATCATTCATATGTTGTTGGTCCGCTGGTCTTATCAGTCCTTGCCAGCCTAGCCAGTAATGAGGAATCCTGGCATCTGCGGGCTTGCATCAACAGGCGGGCCAAACTTTGCCAGCCCCTGCTGTGAGACACAGATCAAACTGTGTGTGAAGCACTAGTTTGGCTGAATTTTGTAGCTGGAACTTTCTGTTTTTCTTTTTTAGGTGAAACCATGAAGAAACCTCTTTGGAAGGAAGTTTCTGGAGCAGGCGTCCCCTACGAGGGATATGGATTAATTGGGGCCTGAATGCGAGCACACCTGTATTGGACAGAAGCAGAGAAGAAAACCAGAGCGAGTGTGTTCAATGTTCTTCACATCATGCCAACCGTCAGGGTAGGAAATGCCCAGGTGCATGTGGAGATAGCCGAACCTGACCTTCCTGGCCAAGGTCAGCTCAGAGCTGGTTCCGTAAAAGTTGCTGTCTTCAGGAAGTCATTTGTTCTTTTCCTTCTTCACATTCTCTTTGAAGGAGAATTGGACCGTGCAAAGGCCATGAATTTAAGAGCCACGAGGCTTACCTGTAAAGGGGCTGTTATGGGATGATTCACCACCTCTGATGAGACCAGAAATTCCTGGGTTTTCTTCTGTTTTTTTATTATTATTATTTCAAAGTGGAACCCAAGATCTGGCATTCATCTTTGTGTGTCTGGACTAACGATGATGATGTCGTGTGTGCACCTCTGTCGCCTTTAGCCTAGACTGATGGAAACCATGCCATGAGACCAGCTGCAGCGTAAGTGCAGCCATGACAGAACCTCACCGGGTCCAGCTCACCTCTCTGTCAGGTCCCCTGAGTACCACTTTGCTGAAAAAAACTCGGCGGGAGGATGTCACAGGGACAGAACACCCCCAGGAATCTGAGCCCACAGCTGCTGCGGTTCGCATTGCCCTCACCCTTTTTGAGCCGGATCACAAGCGCTGTCCAGAGTTCTTTTATCCAGAACTGCTAAAGAATATACGTGGGAAAGGGAAAAATAGTTGCACGGGAGAAAAGGTACGTGGGTGTCTTTCCTTTTTTTGGTTCTCTAGTTCCTATCATTTAGCTATCTATTTCAAAAAAATCCACAACAAAGGTCTTCAATTTCCGAGCCCACAGCTGCCGCGGTTCGCATTGCCCTCACCCTTTTTGAGCCGGATCACAAGCGCTGTCCAGAGTTCTTTTATCCAGAACTGCTAAAGAATATACGTGGGAAAGGGAAAAATAGTTGCACGGGAGAAAAGGTACGTGGGTGTCTTTCCTTTTTTTGGTTCTCTAGTTCCTATCATTTAGCTATCTATTTCAAAAAAATCCACAACAAAGGTCTTCAATTCTGTTATCTTCCAAGGGGTAAGATCTGTCAGAAAGGCAGGGCCTTCCTATGGGTGCCTGATACTAGGGTTAGAATTTTTAATAGGCTTTTAGTTTTGTCCGTGATGTTTTTAGATGGGAAAAGGTGGACATTTCCAGAAGTCCTCAGTCGATATCGCAGAAGAGGACGCTTTTCTTCCTTACGTTTGCAGCCACTAGGCAACTGGCATGTGCTGAAGAACGTTTCCTGTGAACGCACAGGATAAAGACAATGACAGCTGGCACCTCCTCACCCCCAACCCTCGTTCCTTTACTGGTATTCTTGTTAGACCCACATCTGCACAAAAGGCCTTGGTTCCTTGGCATCAACCCTCTTCTAGTGTTGTTCTGTTGCTGTTGTGTGTTGCAAGAAGAAAATGGCCATGGGCAAAATCTCCAGCATCAGAGGCTTGTATTGTATCAATGTACAGGTGGAGGCATGTGAGCCGGATAAGGGGCATGGGTAGGTTGGAGCCATGACGCTAAGGAAAGGCAAAGATCCTGAATTCATAATCCAGTACAGTAAGGTGGGCAAAGAGGCTTCTTGACCCTGAACAGGATGAGCCATTCCATTTCTGAGCATGAACTGTACTCTTTGAAACAGATCAACAGACCCTATTTAGACATTCTTTGCATTTTCCCCCTCTCTGTCTCTAGAAGAAAGACCTTGCTGATCCCTTTAATGAAGAGGAAAAAGAGAAGCACAAGCTGGAGGCTCTTGCCAGGAAGTTTGAAGAGAAATACGTATGTTTCCTTGCCATAACTACGAGGCAGATGCAGTCTCAGTTCTAGTATTCTTTATACAAGTGCCAGTGAAAGACCACAGTGGTTCTTGTGCTGGGAATGCAAATGCTGCCATCAGGCGTTATAAAGAAAAAATATTAGTTGATGGACAGGAAGTGTCATCAATATTTAGTTTAGTAATTGTGGCTGTTGTTCACCTCTTACTCCTTTGGGGAGTTTTATCATGGTGTACATGAACCTTTGCCACCCTGTTTAATTTGTGGCATACTTGGTTGGTAGACTTTGGATGAGAGACCCTGACCCATCTCAGTCACCTGCGGCCTGTGGGGAGACAAAGCATCATCTCCACAGTGCCACTTCCCGCTAGGAATGAGTGTTTGAATAGGGAGCTTTAGTTTTGTTCGTCTTGTTAAGTTTCATCTACTGCTGAATCCTTACCAGGAAGATTTGCTGGCTAGTTTATTAATTTGTGGTCTGAAACTGAGGGTTGACTTGATTTCAGTGCTTTTCTGCTTAAGAAGGCGCTCCAGCCCTTGCTTGCTAGTTAAAAAAATGAAAGCTGTGGTCCACTCTCGCAGAGTTCAGTTTCAGCAGGAGGGTCTACGGGGGTGGGTGGGTGGTAGCAGTGCAGGGTATTCCAGCACTTGTTCTTTGCAGCCTTTGTGGTTAAATTTCAGTCCCTCTCCTTTCAGGGTGGAAAGAAGCGCAGGAAGGACCGTGTTCAGGATTTGATCGACATGGGATACGGATATGATGAATCAGATTCTTTCATTGATAACTCTGAAGCTGTGAGTAGCGAGTGGAGGTTCTGGCTCCCAACAAAAAAGACCCAGGGCAACACACTCTAGCCACCAAGAGTGTTCCAGGAAGAGCAACATCAAGGCACCAGTTGTACAGAAACCTAGTCTGGGCCAGTGCTTCAAGGCTCCATAGCGGGGTTGCTTTGCCAGGCTGCATAGCAGGCCTTTGAACTGGTCTCTCAGCCATGCAGGCCTTACCTGGAAGCTTATAATGTCACACAGACACCAAATCCCTTTTTCTTCAACAGTTCTCGATCTCTCCTTTTTTGGCCACAGCCTTTTGAGGAGCTCTTCTCAGGTTCCAGGGCCCCCTATCAAACGCAGACATGACATTAACACATGAATGAAAAAAACCCTTCTCACATTTTTCAGCCTGTGGCCCCTTTCAAAGGTGCCAACCACCCCACCCCAGGGAGCCATATGGCCCCTTTGAGAGTCTCATGAGAGTTGCTTTCCCTGGTAGAATTCTGCAAGCTGCTAACCAAAGCCGGGTACAAGGTTGTGGCTTGGGAAGCGAAGGGGCACCTAGACATATAAATAGGGCATCTTTGAGCCACGTGTTGAGGGCAGGAATTAGCTTTTGATGCAAGAACTGATCCTAGCATCCTTTCCCACTCACAAATCCTAATTTGGGTTTTCTGCAAGTTAGGTGCACTTAGGCCCACGCTTGTCGAAAAAATGCATGGTTGAACTGCAAGTCCCAGAATCTGTAATCCAATGTGACCTATCCATTTTGGGCTTCCCATAAAACATTATTTTGCTACCTTTGGGTTCGCTAAAGTTCATTACTACATAGTAGGATGTCTGTGATAATTATGTGGAGCTGATTAGCATTTAAAGGGGCCCCAGATTTACTGAATGGAAACGTGAGCCTGTTACAAGAGCACTCACTTATTTCTCATCTTGTTTTCAGTACGATGAGCTTGTTCCAGCTTCGCTGACAACCAAGTACGGAGGCTTTTATATCAACTCGGGGACTCTACAGTTCAGACAGGCTTCCGAATCGGAAGATGACTTCATCAAAGAGAAAAAGAAGAAATCTCCTAAGGTTTGAAATTTGGATGCTCTGGGTGCATTAAACAAAGTAGTTACGTTTTGATCTGACAATATGGAGAACCAAGGGTGCCTTATTTTATTTCTACTCTTTTCTCACTGCATTTGCACAACAGCCCCTTCATGGTCACGCCTGCCTACCGTAAGTACATGGTCCGTGGGGCGTCAGGGAGCTGTTTATTTATTTATTTGATTTATATCCCGCCCATCTGGTCTGTTTCCTGGCTGTGAACCTTCCCTCCAGGAAAAGAGCTGGCCAAGCGTGCAGCCTTCTGGCAACGGCACTCCCTGTTCCGAAAGCAAAATGTGGAGCTTGCTTCTGTTTTCATATTTTCGGAACCCGATCAGAGTGTGTTCTGCAGGAGTTTATTCCCATTAGCAGTAGAGATTTGACTGACTTGGGAGAAAACCCTGAAAAGGCTTGCATTGGTGGCTCCTCTTAGGCAGAAGAGAGCTACATAGGCTGGCTGATTTTTGTTGCCCCCTCCCCCGTTGGCACACACAATGTTTCTCTCTTTGGGGAGCCCATTGGCTGTGGCAGATGGGTCTTTTACCAAGCAGGTCCTGCCTTTTTTCATTAGTTGGATTCATGCACTTCCTCTGCTTTGACATTTCTTTTAACTATATTACGGATCTATAACATGTGCATTATATTAATCATACCATTAATGCTTTGAGCCTCACATCCGGCAGAAAAATGGTGTATAAAACAATTTTAAGAAAAGAGTGTTGAGGTTCATGTAAACATACAAAATGTTGGGTTGCAATAAACAGCAGCAAATTATTATTATTTATTATATTTATATCCCGCCCATCTGGTCAATTGACCACTCGGGGCAGCTAACAACACTTAAAACAATTTAAATGTACTTGAGTGTAAGAAACATAGAGACTTACTAAGGCAGGCTAATGAAATGAGGATGGTTCACACTTTCCTCCACTTCCCGTGGGTCCTTCTGTATGCAGCTTCATTGCTGTTTTTAGTGGAAGATTAAATGGAGGTTTGCTTGAGGCTACTTGTAGATGCTTTTTCTGCTTAGAGAAAAGATGCAGTTGGAACCATACCATTTACAGCTGCATTTTGAGGGTTATTTAGGTGTGTCTGGAAAGAGATGGGTAATATTTCTTTGCTCATTTAGGGTATCAAGTGGAGTTTGAAAGGGGCTGGACTTGATTATCCATAGCAGTTCTCAGATGATAATATTGATGTTGATGATGAATAGAGGCCTGAAACGAGGGGAAATGTTCTTGCAGCCTTCTTTAGTGTAGGGGGGAGATTAGAGACCTCAGATTTTTAGTATTTTTCATCCAAGACAGTTTATCTGTTTTGTTTTTTCGTTGCAGTGGGAATTAGTTTCTCATATACCTTGCATAACTAAGCTGGGCAGTAGTCTTATTTTCCGGCATTTTGACTGTAAGCTTGAGGGCCACACCTTTCTTCCTTTATAAAAATAATTAGTATTTCTACGTGTGGTAATACTTGCAATCATTTAATTCCCAGAAACGGAAATTGAAAGAAGGGGGCGAGAAGATGAAGAAGAAGAAGAAAGATGATTCTTACGATAAAGAAAAGAAATCTAAAAAATCGAAATTTCCTAAAACTGGGTAAGAGTCTATAATTTGTACTAAACTGGGTGCGGACGTGAGAGGCTTTCATAACCAAAGGCGGATAGGCAGTTTTAAAACTTGACAATTAGAACATCAGCTTGGACAGCTGGGGTGAAAGTTGCAAGTTCAAGGCCTTGTTTTAGCCCCCGGTTCACAGGGGCTCCTCTGCCGTAGACTCTCCCACTCCTGGCAGGGTGTTCCGTATGCTCTTAGCGGTTAACCAACTTCCCCAAATGCACAGGGTTGGAATTAAGGCTGAGAACTTGTCCTCCTTCAGCTGTTGAAGGACTGCATCTGTTTAGTTAAGAAGGCGGAAGAGGTACTGGCTTAGTTAATGTGTGTTGCGGCTGGCTTTTACTTGTATCTGCAGTGCTTTTCAGTGTGATGAGTGTGTAAAATCCCTACAGTGGTGCCCCGCATAGCGACGATAATCCGTTCCGGAAAAATCGTCGCTATCTGGAATCGTCGCTATCCAAAACAAAAAAGCCCATAGGAATGCATTGAAACCCCTTCAATGTGTTCCTATGGGCTTAAAACTCACCGTCCAGCAAAGATCCTCCATAGGGCAGCCATTTTCGGTGGCTGTCTTGCAAGGAATCCGTCCCAGAAAAGAGCCCGGAGCCATCTTCTCCGCTCCTGCCCCTCCCCTTCCCCGCCTCACAGCTGATACTGCAGCCCCTCCGCCTCAGAGCTGATCGTCGCTGCTCTTAGAAGCTTCCCCAGGCTTGCCCAGCAGGTGAACATGCAGTGGAAATGCACTGTGGAAGCCTCTGAAACCTGCGCTTTGCCAGGTGGGGGTGAGTGGGGGTGTGGCAGGGGCATCCCCAGAGCCCCCCCTCGCGCCGCTTTGAGAAGCCTCCTGGGGCTTTTTCAGCAGAAGTAGAATGTTTTTCTGGAACTCTCTGGCTTTCTCCATAATCCAGCGCATGTTGACAGAGTTAGGATAGTGGTAAAGCTTTTCCCTAACAAGCTAAGATTTGGTCTGTTATTAATGGCGCATCTGAGAAAAGATTGTTGCCAACAAAAGCTTTTGCTGAAATCCTTCTGTTAGTCCATACTTGTAATTATTATTTCTGGAGCTTTGAAAGACTCTAGGATGATGCATAAATTAGGCTGTAGGTGGTAAAATAATGGAACGTGATGGCTGGTTGTTTTCGCTTCTTCAAGCATCCCTGTTTGTCTGTGGCAAGTATTATACTGTCTGTCTCTTAATAGTTTTACAGCTCTGAATGCCAGTAAAGAGAAGAAGAAGAAGAAGTATTCGGGGTCCCTGAGTGTCAAGGAGATGTTGAAGAAGTTTCAAAAGGAGAAAGATGCCCAGCAGAAGCGAGAGGATGAGCCGAAGCTCGCCGTCCCTTCGCTGGCTGAAACCCCAGCTTTGCGAGAAGTGGAGAGCAGCGTCCCTGATCCTCTCCTGTCTCTCTTGGGCCACACCAGTGACAATGAACTGCTTCAGGCAGCCACCGCCGTGGACTCCCTGACCGACCTGGACTTCGAACAGCTTCTCAGTGAATCTCCGGGAGAAAGCCCTTTTCCCGACATGGAGGACGGGAGCAACCCCCTCGGGATGGGACTGGAGCAGGAGATCAAGCAGCCTCCGGCCCTTCCCGACGGACTCCCCGGGCCACTGGAGAAGCGCATTGAGGAGCTGATTCAGGTATGGCAAGTCCTGGCTCCTGCACACAAAGAGAGCTCTTATAGCCACCACTGTATTTCAGAAGAGGGCAGGGTCATTTCGCACTCTCTGTCTGGAGCTCCTTAAGACTTGGAAGTGCCGAGCTGGTGGAAGTGAGAGACATTGTTGAGTTGAAATGCTTTTCTTAAATTCAGTGCATTTTGGGTACCCAAACAGCTCATATTAGATGGTCTTATTCTGGCAGTGGATGAGAAAAAGCTCTGTATTAGGAGCCTCATGATGCAGAGGTTAAACTGCAGGATTGTGGTCAAAACTCTTCTCACGGCCTGCATTCGATTCCAAAGGTTTCAGTTAGCCAGCTTCAGGTTGACTCATCCTTCCATCCTTCCAAGGTCTGTAAATTGAGTACCCAGCTTGCAATGTGTAAGCCTGCATCATTAAACTATAAACTGCCCTGATAATGCTTTACGTGTGACGGGATGGTATATAAGCAGCACACATTGCCCTTTGACTGTCCTTCACGGCCATAACACGAGCCAGGAAGCCAAAGGGGCATCATGAGATTATTACGCAGGTTGCTTAACAGGACTTGGTACTCACAGGTTGTCCAATCACATTTTGAAGTGAACAATAAAACCCCTTATTTTACAGCAGCCTGCTTCCAGTACGGCACAAGTGTAATGCTGAAAGCCAGCTAAGGTTTATGTGGCATCTTCAAGACTTAAGTTTTATTTTGCATGAGTTCCTGTCCGGAACCCTTGCAATATCTGGCAACAGAACAAACAGCATATCTGAACGAGAAAGCTACAAAAATGTCTGTAAAAATTTAACATAAAGAAAATATGAATGCCTGTCTGTACTGTAATTCCAAGGTCATGAAACTCAGGCATCTGAAACGTGTGTTGAGATATTCAGAGGATCTGTCTCTCCATGTTACTGTATTTAAAAATGGAGTAAAGAAATCCACTGCAGATTGGTGACCAGTTACTCTCTCTTTTTACGAATTAGGCAGCCAGAGCTGCTGAAGGAGAAGGCAAGCACAAGTTCTTCACCCAGGACATGAACAGCATATTGCTGGAGTAAGTCTCCTTTCTAAATGTGCCAGCCGAATGTGTACGCTCTGAGCAAAACTAGACACCAGAGGCTCCGTGGAGGAAAATTTCCTGCAAGTCCTTTGTGCAGTAGGGCACCTCAAAACACTTTTATTCAGATTACTTTTTGACTGCTGAAACGACTAGAGTTCACGTGTTCTTTGTCAATGTTGCTTGAAAAGTTTTTCATGTTTTAATTTGTCTATTGTGTCATTCCCCCCCCTTGTATCAACTTCTTAATTAGCAAAAAGCTTCATTGCATTTTGCTTTGGTTCTCTTGTGTTGGTAAATGGAGAGAGCAACCTGGCTGGCTCGTATTTGGAGACGCTCAGAGCTAAATGGTTCTTTCTTGCCTGCTGTCTCCAGTATAGAGCTGCAAACCCGGGAACTGAACAGCCAGATACGATCTGGGGTGTATGCTTACCTGGCCTCCTTCCTGCCGTGCAACAAAGACACGTTGGTGAAGCGTGCCCGTCGGCTTTACCTCTGTGAGCAGGTACGAGATCGCTGGAGTGCAGGACCACCGCACGGTGCAAGAGTCCTTGGCTTTGTAAATAGAGGCCATAAAGAAAGGTGTTTAGCAATCATGAACTTCTCTTCCCAGACCTGAGGGGCTGCTTTTGGTTCCTGGAAAGGGAGCTTCTGTCTGCAGTAAAACTCTTTTTTGCATCCTTAAGGCTTTACCTCTGTGAGCAGGTACGAGATCGCTGGAGTGCAGGACCACCGCACGGTGCAAGAGTCCTTGGCTTTGTAAATAGAGGCCATAAAGAAAGGTGTTTAGCAATCATGAACTTCTCTTCCCAGACCTGAGGGGCTGCTTTTGGTTCCTGGAAAGGGAGCTTCTGTCTGCAGTAAAACTCTTTTTTGCATCCTTAAGATAAGAAAAGAACGGGAGCCTCTGTATGCAGTAAAACTCTTTTTTGCATCCTTAAGATAAGAAAAATGAATACAGAAAAGCTTCCATATGAGGGTTGACCTTGGCTGTTACCCTAACCTTCAGAGGCACACATTTTTGATGGGAGAATTGTTTATTTAAAGCACTGGTTCTTAACCTTGGGGATTTTTGATTGGAGAAAAGTGGCTTTTGTTTATTTAAAGCATTGCTTCCGAAAATATTTCAAAAGAATTCCCGATGACAATGCAGTAAAACTCTTTTTTGCATCCTTAAGATAAGAAAAATGAATACAGGAAAGCTTCCATATGAGGGTTGACCTTGGCTGTTACCCTAACCTTCAGAGGCACAGATTTTTGATTGGAGAAAAGTGGCTTTTGTTTATTTAAAGCATTGCTTCTGAAAATATTTCAAAAGAATTCCCGATGACAAAGCAGCATAATGTCCAGCTCCTGTTTGTAGATGTCTTAAATTTCCTTTTAAAAATGCATGGCCCACAGTTGGCTTTTATGGGAAAGGCAGCCTTTGTAACCTCCAGTGATGGGGGAACAACGGCTGCTTTCCTCCTTTGCTTTCGCAGATTGTCGGGCTGACTGTTTCTGAAAATATTTCAAAAGAATTCCCGATGACAAAGCAGCATAATGTCCAGCTCCTGTTTGTAGATGTCTTAAATTTCCTTTTAAAAATGCATGGCCCACAGTTGGCTTTTATGGGAAAGGCAGCCTTTGTAACCTCCAGTGATGGGGGAACAACGGCTGCTTTCCTCCTTTGCTTTCGCAGATTGTCGGGCTGACTGTGGATGCAGCTGAGGGCCACCGCTGCAAATTGAACACGTCACCCTTTTGTATTTCTCCAGGGAGGTCGGCTGAAGGAGCCCCTTCACAAACTAAAGGAAGCCATTGGCCGGGCGATGCCAGAGCAGATGGTGAAATATCAGGAAGAATGCCAAGCACACACCCAGGCCAAGTTTGCTAAGTACGGGTGTTCACTCTCTTGGCATCGGTGCAATCCACCAGGGGTGGGGACTTGTGAGTCACGGCTCGCTTTCAAGTCCCGCTCAAGTCACACCGATTACTTGACTCTGACTCAGCTCAGATGTTTCAGGGAGCAGGGAGGACTCAGGACGTATTTGTCCAAGATGTATTGTTGAGTCCCTCCGCCCGTGCATGCGCCGCCCCTCTGATAGGCTGGCGCATGAGCAGCAGCAGGGGCCAGCTCTGGGAATGGAAGGTGGCCCATTGTTTCTGCACAAGCTGTGGCCTTAGGGGACAGGGGCGGAAGACTTGGCCTCGGGGCCCCAAGACCTGGAACTCAGTCTCAAAGACTTGTCAACATCCCGGCAAGCCGCCCTCTCCACGATTTCCTCTGCGTTCCCAAAGCTTAAACTGGACTGGAGCCTACCTACGGTTTCCTGATCCCGTATTGAAGTGCCTGTCCCTGCACTTCTGGTTCTACAGCTAGTAAAATATTCTTAGTGGACTACCATTTTTCAAAAGCAGACCTGAAGGATGTGCCTTGCTTTACCGTTGCTTTCTTCCTCTCAGGATGCTAGAAGAACCAAAAGACAAGGAGCAGAGAGACCGGATATGTTCAGAGGATGAGGAAGATGATGATAAAGGAGGGAAGCGGATCATGGGTCCCCGAAAGAAGTTCCAGTGGAACGATGAAATCAGGTTTGTAGAAGCAGGAACTGGTTGTTTTCAAGACCCTTTCCCTATGTTTGATGGAAGTGCAGCCCCTTCCGGAACGTGGTTGGCATCCGCCTTGTCTGGACACAGCAGCTTTTGTTGCGTCTTGTCATCTGGCTCTGTTCGTTCACTTGTTGCAGCTGTTTTTATCAGACTGCATTTTTGAGCTTCTGCTGAGGGTGCAAGGTCTGGTATGCGCATGGCACCATTATTACAAATAAATTTTCATCCTGCTTTGTATTTTAACATGTTAGCCCATCTCTTCTGGCCCCGTCTACTACTGACTTCCACCCCTCCCACCTCCACCTTGGTGTGAAGGAATGTGGCCCTGGGGATTTAAAAAATCATTTTCCATCTCACCTCTATGAATCAACTGGTTGAGGCCACAGGGAAATAGAGCCGAGGCATCCTCAGTACGCTGACCGTACTCGTCCGTCTCAGTCTGTCGTGAATTGGGCGGGATTGTCAAGGTGCCGGTTGCTGAACTTGGACCTGGCCTGAATGACAGTCCGTGCGCCGAAGCTGAATCCTGGCAAAACAGGCAGGGGTGCGCAGGTGATCCCAGGTCCCATGAAGCACAAGTTCCATCCCTGCTGGACAGAGCTGCCCTCTCCTGAAGGAGCCAGAGTAGAATACATTCCAGATTGAAGAACTGAACTGACAGATTCAAGATGTAACTAAAATATTGTTCCAAGCTGGATTAATTGAGTAGGTTGTGTTTGCAGGGAGTTGGGCTTAAATAAAAATAGCAGAAACTAACCTTCCTTCCTCCCTCTCTTCCTCCATCTTCCTGCCTTCTCTCTCTCTCTCTCTTCCTGCCTTTCTAACTTCCTCCTCTTTCTTTTCCTTCCTCCCTCTCTTCCTTCCTCCAGGGATTTGCTCTGCCAGGTGGTGAAGATTAAACTGGACGGGTATGACCTTGAAAAGAACAAGACCCAATCGATGGAGGATTACGTGAAAAGCTTCCTGGACGCCGAAGTGAAACTGCTTTGGCCGAAGGGCTGGATGCAGTCCAGGTGAGAGGAAAGGCAGATGACAAAATAGTAGACAAAATAGTTACTCAGTTATTGGGTGGCTTGCCTCTTCCTCATTTTTTCCTGCAATAGTGCTGTTTTGAGTTGGAGTAACTGAGCCCAGAAGGTTTCCACAATATATGAGAGCATCTGGCACACGTTCAACCTGGGAATTCCACACCCTACCAGAGGCTGAAATCTGTCATTCCCAAGCTCTCAATCCAGCCCGTCAGCGATCGCATCGTGCTGGCACACCAGAAATTGTTTAGGCCCTAGTCTCTTAGCACAGTGGGCATTTTGCTGTCGGGGGGTGTGACGGGGAGCCCAGAGGTGAGTCATTTTGGTCAGGCCTCCAGCAGATCTGTGACTTGGGTGTTGCAACCAGGAATAAAACCTGCCATAAGTCATCTGGATGTGAAGCTGAAAGAAAGAGACACCCCAGTTTTGGGGGAGGGGGGAATCAAAGAGGCATCTTAAAGACAAGGAAGTTTTCCCTGCGATAGGTTTTCCTGGGCCGGATGAACTTGACGGGAGTCAAGAGCTACTCATTGAAGCACAGCGGGACCTTCAGTGAGTTCTGCCTGCCGCAGACTTGTAGCGCTGCCCTCCCCTGGAAATTTCCAGTTTAGGAGCCTTTCAGCAGAAAGCTAGGCAGGAAGCTTCCCAAATGCACCAAGGGCAAGTTCAGTGCCAACCTTGTTGGCTCCGGGCAGGGCAGCCTCAAAGGAGGTCCTCGGGCAGTGTCGCTCTGCATAATGCCTGCAGTCGTGAGACGGAACTCAAGCCGTGATCCGAGTGCAGAGGGGAATCTCTGGATTTGGAAAGAAACCTCTACAGTGCAAATGGGGGCGGGGTGGAGGGTGTCTCGTAGAGATTCTCTCCATTTCTTCAGAAAAGGGAGTCGTGGGTGCCCCGTGGTCTCCTTTGCAGTCCAGATCGGGTGATGGCCCTTCATTGCGGCGCTTCAGGGAGGCAGGCAGGTAAGGCCTCTCCCACCATGAGGCAGGGCGGAATAACGTGGCATCGCGCCTCCTGAATTGTGATCTGTAGTGGATGCTGGCCTTGACATTCTCGCAGCTTTTCTTTCCAACCGTGAGGCCTAGAAACTTCAACCGTGAAAGCTGTCATGCTCTGGAATCCCACTTGAGGCCTCAGGATCTTACCCTTGTAAGTTCTGCAGCCTGGACAGCTGGTCCCTGCTCTAGCTCAGCTTCTTGCTGCCCCCCCCCCTTTTCTCCTTTTTCAGGACCCTGTTCAAGGAGAGCCGGCGAGGGCACAGCCACCTCACGTCACTCCTGTGAGTATCCATCGCTGCTCACCATCTCACGGGTCCGTCCTGCCCGCTTGCCGCTTTATGTAGCCCCCCTCGTTGTGGCCAGAAAGGGCAAAGGACAGCCCGATGTTTTGGAGGATTTCTGCCCTCTGTGCAAATCTGAGACCGTCTTGTATGGTTGAGACCGGGGGGGGGGGCTCCCAGTCCTGTGCCTTTTCCTCTCACTTAGCAGAAGCCCTCTAAGAGGAGGCTGTGTGTGTGCCCCGGTCTTAATCCTGTCCCATGAAATGCTTTTATCCAGGGGTTTCGCCACGTTTGTTGAGAACCTTCTTCCTGCAGAGCAGTCAGGGTGGGTGGGGTGGGTGGCCAGCCTTTGGGTCCAACTCCCTTTTAAAAACAAGTTTTATTCCTTCAGAAAAATAAGGAAGGGGGTGGGTGGCTTCTGAGTCATGAGCCTGGGGGAGGGAATCCAAGTTGTTGGTGTGACTTAAGCCTTATTTGATGGCGACTCCTGTAACTCGAAGGGACGTGGTGGCGCTGCGGGCTAAACCGCAGAACCCTGTGCTGCAGGGTCAGAAGACCAAGCAGTCGTAAGATCGAATCCACGCGACGGAGTGAGCGCCCGTCGCTTGTCCCTATCCATCTTCGTTGAGGACCTTCTTCCTGCAGGGTGGGGGGGAGGGCGGGTTTGGCAAGCCTTTGGGTCCAAGTCCCTTTTAAAAACAAGTTTTGTTTCCCCAGAAAAATAGGAAAGGGAGGGGGTGGCTTCTGAGTCAAGAGTTGGGGGGGATCCGAGTTGTTGGTGTGACTTAAGCCTTACTTGACGGCGAGTCCTGTCACTCGAGTCCCCCTTCCTGAGCGCAGTGCTGTGCCCGTGAGCCCTGCGTTCTTCCTTTCAGCTCTCTGCCTCTCTTCGCGACCCCCCCAGACTCATGTACTCGATGCGCTGATCACCCAGTCTTTACCGGATCAAGGACTCTTACA